AAAAGGGACTACATAGACTGAAGTTGTTAGGACTCTCTCTATAATAAGTAGCAGGAAACCAACTTAAATGACATCATGATATCTGGCAAAAGAAATTAAAAAGAGTTCATTGACCAATGTAACTGTCTGTATTAGAGTTTGTTTAAGTTGCCATTACAAAAATACCATAGACTGGATGGCTTAAACAATAGAAGTTTTCCCCTCAGAGTTCTGAGACTAGAAGTCTGAACTCAGTGCCAGTAAAGCTTAGAGTCTGCTGAAGTTTCAGTCCTGATTTGATGTCCTTCGTGGCAGAGGGAGAGAGCAAGCTTTCCTTCTAACAAAGGTACCAGAGTCATCAGGTTTAGACCACCTCTGTAGCTCATGTAACTTTAATTGCCTCCTTAAAAGCCCTATTTCCAAATGGTGTAAGGACTTCAGCATATGAATGTAGGTGGTAAGGTGACGCAATTCAATCCATGCCACTCATCACTACAATTTAGTGCTCGAGAAACCATTATTTTGTTTATTTTTCCACCTCTATGACAACCCCTTCTTGGTACCCTTTGCTGGATCTATTCACTCATAATATTTAAACATTAGAATGTCCTTCAATCTATCTTTATTCCTTAGTCTCGTGCCTTCCCGTGACTTTCAATACTGTTTCATCTAGCCGTAGCTCTCCAGAATTGCACATAAACTCCCTATCGTTTTATTTGAACATCTCCTGGGCATTGGAAAGGCAGCATACTATGCAGTATCACTTTAATTTCTAATGACTATACTCAAATTGGCCCTCGTGCTCTTGGTCATCCTATTAATGCTTCGCTGGTAATTCTGGGGTTTTCTTCCAGAAAATTATTTTATATCTTTTCAAACCTCCACCACAGCTCCTATCCTTTCTCCTAATCAATATTGGTTTTAAATTCCAAATTCACTGAAGAGCTAGAAGTCACAGCGAACTTTCACGATCTTACACCACCATCACAGTTTTGCCCTCCTTTCTGTTTCCCAGGATGAGCCCTTGCTTCTTTCCAATGCCCGTAACTCCATGGTAGTTTTATATCATGGTTGAAACAACCTATTCATTAGGTCCTGGCTCTCAGGACTGAATATTCTGTTTAACATCACGTATGGTCGACAGCAAAGTGCAGCAGGGTATGAGCCATTCTGGAATCTCTAGAAAAGCATCTGTTTCCACATCCAGCCAGGTCATTGGTAAAATCCCATCCCTTGCAGTGATCAGAGTGAAGCTCTCATTTCTTGGCTGGATGTCAACTAGAAAACCACTCTGAACTGCCAAAGACCTCTCTCTGGTTTTGCACATGACTCTACAGCACAGTGTGTTGAATCCTTCTCAAACTTGGAACATTCTGACTTCTCCTTTACTAGATCTCTCTTCTGCTTCCATCTAGAAAACAAAATGTGTCTTCTGCTTTTAAAGGTTCAAGAGATTAGATTGGGCACATATGCACAACCCAGGAGAAAGCTCCCTGCTTTCTGACCTATAATTCCAATTATATCTATGACTTCAATTATATCTGCAAAGTCCCTTTTCTTGCATCAGGTAGTATATTTCCAGGTCCCAGAGATTTGGATGTGAATATTCTGGGAGGCATGTCCCACATTGCACTTCTGCTCCAAAAAATTCCCCTTTTCTCTTCTACATCCTCAATTACTTCTCACAAATGGTTCTTTTCAACTAATATAAAGATGACAATATTTTACCCATAATAAAAGATATGGCTTCCAATAACTTGTTTCTCAGTGGGGTTGTGAATGCAACACCTTCGAAAGAGCCATCTATACACCCAATTCCCAATTCTCCCATTCTCCATCTTTCACCTTTTCTACTGATTCTACCACACCATATCTGCTTTTATCAAAGTTTAGGTTATACATTCTAAACTTAGTGGTTGGTTCTTGGCCTTCATTTAGTATTTATTTTATTTAGGCAAATGCTCAACCCTTCAGTTTGTCTTCCAAGTGACCGCTCTCTCAGTTTTTCTGGTACTGTTGGAGGTGCTCCCTTCACTGGTTCTTCTTCGTATTCCTGGTAACTGTGGACTGCCTGCAGCTCTTCTGTCTGCACTCATTATTTTGGTAATCCCTCCCAGTGTGTGCATGTATTAATGACTTACAGATGCATATGTATAGCTCAGAACTGTCCCCTGGACTCCAGGGACAGCTCTGTGATATTGTATAGGAAAAGTTAACATACCCCTCTGTGTGGACTGTTCCTTGGCTAATATCAGCTCCATTCTTCCGTTTGACAACACCTCCATTTTTGGAGAGGTCATTGCCTCTTTTAACTAATATATATATATATACACACACACATACATATATACATTATGTATGTATATATGTACATATATATAGTACTTAGCATTCATTTAACAAATCTTGTTGATGCTAACACCAAAGTATAGAATCTTGCTGACAGCATGCTGGACACCACCAATTTGATCACTCTATTTTATCAAAATGGTCTATTTACTAGTTCCTCTCATCAACCTTGGCCTTTATACACCTTCTGTAAAGAGAATGTTAAAATTAAATCAGATCATCTTACACCTTGGCTGATTTTTTTTTAAAAAGCTACAGTACTTATAATGGCTTAGAAAGCCTTATATGATCTTCTCATATCACACCGGCAGTGAGACCCTCCCTCCCACCCCTCCCCCTCACCACCCTGGGTACTCTGAAGATTGTAAGCTTCTATCTGACCAGAGACTTTCTTCGCTTTATTATTTTCTCCACCATGTTACCATCCAATATCCTACCTAAATTTTATATTTATTAATATACTCTTACCATCATCAAGAGAATTTCAGTTTCATAAGGGCAAAGAATTATATGAATGTGTGTGCACATGTCTATGTGTGTCTGTGTCTGCATATGCATTCTTTATTACTCTATTTCCAGTATCTAATACTGTTACTGGTCCAGAGTATACAATAAATATCCATGGATGTTAAATGAAGCTCTAGAATCATTTTCACCTCAAAATCTGTTTCCTCATCAAGTCTTCCCCAAACGAGTAAACAACAATCCTCTCCTGGTTTGCTCTAACAGGAATGTGGGACTCCTGTCTTTCACATCTCATATCTTCAAACCCTGACAGTTCTACCGACAAGCACACACGCAGCCTTCCAGACTCTGGCCCTCTCACGCTCTTCGTTGCTCTCACCAAAGCCTAGGCCACGACATTTACTCACTTTTATTGCAATGGCCTTGTTACTGGTCTCTCTGCTTCTGCCTATGCTCCCTAGAAATCTATATTCTACACAGAAGAAAGAGAAATGCTGCCGAATTTATGTGAGAACGTGAGTGTTTTCGGGTCAAAACACTCAGTTAGAGTTTCCATCCTAGAATATAGCCTAAATCTTTTATCTAGCTATCAAATGTTTCGCAATCTTGTCCCAGACACACCTTCCTAAAGCTGTTTCTTCCTTTTGCTCATTTTTTCCCAGTCAGCCACCCAATCCCCGTGCCAAATCTCTTCACATGTCTCTGATCCTGATGCTGCTGCTTCTACCTGGAATGCAAATACATGTGACTTGCTTCTGGCCTTCATGTAGGCCTCAGCTCAAAATTGCCTAATCAGAGTGCTTCCCAGATCATCGCACCTAAAATAGCACACACACACACACACACACACACACACACACACACACACACACACACACACACACACACACACACTGGATTCCTATCTTCCTTCATCTCAATGCCCTTATTACCACTTGATATTTTATAGTTACTAATTTTTTTAATCTCCTGTCTCTCTACTTCTCAAAATTCGTAAAATCTATGGGAGAAAATACTAAACTCACTGCCACATTCTCAGCACCAGAAATTAACCCTTAACAAGGTTACTTAACCTTACTTAACTTAGATACAAGTATCCTCTTTCTCAAAGAATCAGTGTTAGTATCTAAAAAGGGACTGAGTGTTGAGTGTTATGCTACCCCTCAAACATTATTGTGCCTATAGCAATGCAGACTTCTGATTAGCCAGCGTGAGTCGCGTGTACCCTTATCATTCTGGCATTGGTGTGGAGCTGGCAGGAAAAGTTACCAAAACAATTCATAGATAGAAGAGGTAAGTTCTTGAATTTTTTTTAAAAGCTTCTGTTGGTAGAATTCAGGGTGGGGTAGAGGAAAGACAGAGTATCTGGGGGAGGTAAACACAACAGATGGGAGCCACAGAGATTTTCCAGAGTGGGAAGGAAAGTACAGGGATAAACTGGAGCTCCTGGCAGAAGAAGATCTCTAAATAACTGCACCTCACACACTCCACGAAAGCACACGCGGTTACCCCAGGCACACCTGCATGGCCTCACCTTGCTCTCTTCATCCTCCACTTCCTCCTCCTCCTCCTGAAGGGCTCCTGTGGGAAAAGCAGGGAAGATCTCCAAGGTGAACAATCCTGAGGCTTTACCCAAGAAACTGCAAAAAGCAGACAGAAGCAGGAGCAGATGCAGCAACTGACACATAAATTCTATCATTCACTACCTGTGCTGCGGCTCATCTACTCATTACGTACAATTCTGTATCCATGGCTTTCGGGATTATTAATAATGTATTTTTAGGCAAGGGTAAAACCAAATTAGTTCACAACTAAGCAACAGCTAGGGAAGGGGACATCTACACACACACACACACACACACACACACAGAGAAAATGGAATTCTTCCTGCTATTATTTAGCTTAGGAAATTTTTATTTATGTATTTAGGTATGTTTGTATTTATTTATGGCAGCACCCATCCCACAAGTTATCTTAAAAATTTTTTAAACAAGTATTTCTGAATATAGAAAGTGTTCCTCAGGTTCTCTTGAGAGCAGAACACCCTGGCGAATCACAGACACACACATTCTTCCCATAGTACAGTACTTGAAAATTAATAGCACATGCAGAGGAAAAACTAAACCCTTTGACGTCACTCTTGAAATGAGGAAACATAAACAGAAAAGGCTCCACTCCAGCGAGCTGCCAGCGTTGAAGCCGATTGGTCTCTGCTTTTCCTTGCCTGTGGCAACCGACAGCACCTCCCAGCCTCGCAGGCCGGCTGCCTGCCTGCTCACCCAGCCAGTCACTGGTCGGTCTGGGCGCTGCAGCAGGCTCGGCTCGGTCCCAGCACTGGTCTGGGAGCAAAGTGTCTTCACCCAGAGAGTCTTTCTGACCTCCCTTCCTGCTTGATCTCTCTGTGCGCTTTTGTGTTTCTTTCTTTCTCTTTTATTTTTCCCCCTCTTTCTTTTGTTTTATTTTTTTTTTTAGTTTTTATTTTTATTTTTTGGCATACTTATATTCCTAATCCTGGATGAAGTTGCTGGATTCTGCAGCACAAGTCTTCATGAACGAGCAGCACCGCTCAGCGATTCCACGCCACTCAAAGGTCACAGAGCAGCCACTATGGTTAAATGTCTTGTTTAATGGTTGAGGTATGTACAACAAATTTAAACGGCAAGCTCATTTCTCTGGAGAGGACAGACTCATTAGAGAGATGGCAGGATTTTTACTTAAAATGAACCTGTACATATATCTATATATATGTATATGTATTTGTCTGTGATTGTTCCTCCAGCAACCAGCTTTTGAATTTCCTTCCTTTTTTTCTAGGCGTACTGACTAAACATTTTCCCTTACCCTGAATTAACTGTTTGAGGGCAATACGATTGCATTCTAATCAGTGCAGTAAGAGACTCAGGCATTTTTCTCTGTACTTAAAAAAAAATCCTTTTTAATGAGTGCAATATTTGTTTTCCAATGTACATCTTATAGTTGGGTCCTTTTTCTTATTTATGGTGGAACATGGTAGGAAAATGTGGGTAAAGAGTTTGGTGAGGGTTGTGGAACAGGGACAAAAAGAGAAGTCGGAGCTTTCCTTGAGTTTATCATGTTGGTGGGTAGCAGATGACTAATTTAAGACATTAGTGGGAAAGAGGAAGCAGCTGGGCACAAATTGATCAAAGGTATCCGAATCCTAGAATCTGGAGGGGAAAAAATGACTTTCTTGTCTTGTTGTCTTCTAGTTTAAAAATGTTTTGAATTTCAAAGTCAACAGGCTAGATGTTGGTACTGAGTTACACGGCCAGTGATTCAGATCTTATTATTCACTCAGGAAAATAAAACTTTATTACCACTGCAAATTTTGCTAATTATCTTTTCTTACAACAGTTGAAAGCAGAGCCAGATATTTAATTAGGGACTTAAGTGATTGAGTCTGGGGACTAATTAATCATCTGAAAATTCTGTTCTTCATTTGGTCTGTCCAGGGCGACTATTGCAGTGATAGAGGAAAGCTCTTTGCACCAGGAGGCAGGCGTGTGCATTTGTATCCAGGAAACACACTAAATGCTGCAGGAGAGAGACGAACATAGGGCTAATGCTGTTTTCAGTGAGACATTATAATAGGCCCAAGGGGCTCTGCTAAAATAAAAACTTCTTATTCAGAGAAACAATTATTTCAAAGGCAATTCAAGTCATAGATGGCTTGTAATGGTTTCCTTCTTCTCTTCAAAGTTAGGCAATAGTAAGTAAGACAGGGCTGTTTGAAATCATTACCTTCCTCCCAAATGTCTTATTTGATTTCCTGAAGTTTCTATTCTCAGTTGTGAGAAGCAGCAATCTGTCAATGTGGGTCATGTTGGCAGGGCTACGAAACAAGGTTATCAAACATGTAGTACACTTCAAAGGGTTAACAAAATTAACTGCAGAAGACTGTAATGTACCAAGTTAGAACTGCCAAAATATTAGCTCTGAAATGCAGAGGCTGTGCTGTGAATGGACAATTGCTTTTCGGCAGCGCCTAGTGGGAAAACAAGGGCTTGGTGTGTTGCAAACGCCTAACTGCAGCTCCTCCATTTCCTCTGCTCTATCTTTTATTACTGGCTGGTGAAACAAAGACTGGTGTCAGTGGTTACAACCTGATAGACACTGGCTATAATAAAATGAAGTTCCTTTTTGTTGTGAGGAGAGGTCCGAAGTTAACTAGGTGCAACTGCAAAACCCCTATCTTCTTTATAAGAATTTTACTTGACACTAAAGCTGCCTGATATCAGCAGGCACTCATTTAGTTGAACTATTTGTGACAAACATTATTTCAGTAAAGTAGCACACAAAAACTCTCCTTTAAATCAAGTTACTTAAGAAAAGGGTGGAAAAATCCAAGGTGTGTCATGGACAAAACAATTATATGATAGCCTTACACCGTGTCTGGCACAAAAGCTATCCATTGTGGGGACTCCATAAAAACCTAGTTAAAACGATTGCTGGGGATTTACCTAGAATATATTGTAAATTATATAAATAATTTCCAAACAGGGCTTTTTTAAAAACCACTTTGAAAAACGTAGTCTGGTCTAAAATATTACCTAGAGAAGAACTTCGAAAGAACAGGGCGTTGCATACCTTGACATGTTACATTCAGCCAAAAGGACGCCAAAAGTCCAAAAGTAAAAATGACCAAGGTTCCTCAACATGGAAATGTGCTACCTGGAAAATGCTTTGGACTAGGACTTTGTTTTTCCAAAGTGTAATTTGTTGTGAGCCGAGCTGAAATCACAGGGGAAGTGGCTTGTTAACTCACAGAACATGGTGTTGGAAGGAATTTATTAAGTAGTAAACTAATCTCAAGCATGACTAATAGGGCTTCTCTAGAGCAAAGACAATTGCCAAATGTGAAGATCAGAGCAGGCAGGAACATTAGTGTGGAAGACAACAGTATTCCATGAGCTTCAATGCACATTGCTGAGGTAGGTAACAGGAGGGAAACTTCTATGTATATAAATTATTTCCCAAAGAATTCATCAGCTCGTGCATCCCAAAGATCTTACAGAAAGGAAGAGTCTCTCCAAGAAGATACAACTACTGTCAGAGAAAGGACCTGACAGGTGGAGATTTACCTGGCTCCTCACACACTGGTGAGACCATCTCTAACAAGGCCTCATCTTCCACATAAGAGTAGACCTGGGTTCAATACCATAAGGTTTCTCCAAGCATCTCCTTGCTTTGACTCATGACATGATATCTACTTGTTATATTAACAGTCTTAGAAGTGACTGATAAGCAAATCTGAGTAAAAGAAGGGGGAAATGCCATAAGAACCTAGACCAACTGAGTGAGTGCTTTCAAATAGAAGGAAATGTGTGTTGAAGTTCTAGTGTTAAATCAATACATTCATGCTTTTAACTTTGCCAAGAAGTACTGAAATATCTAAATGGTTTAATTTGTACTGAGTGACTGCATGGCGCAAACTAAAAGAGCAGTGAACAAAGATGAGGACCAGAGAGGCTATCCTCACACAGACAGCAACTTACCCACCGTCTCTAAGCCACCCACTTAATCTTGACCTCAATTTCCTCACCTGAAGAAGGAACTGTTTATATTGGGTTACTTCTAACTAAACATTTGTTTAGTTTAGACTTTATAGAATATTCTTAGACTCATCCTTGGCTTTGTTTATATATATAAATGTGAAAATGACAAACTTTTCATTCCAAAAACATGGTCTCACTTTTTCAATATGTCATGAGTTTTGTGGAGCTGAACTGAAAATGAAGAGAGGTAAACAGTGTTTCCAATCTGCAGGAAACTCATTCTGCTTGAACATAAATACAAAGGAGTAGACCTGTACAGACAAATGGAGAAACAAGGAAAGTATATGAGAAAGGTAGTAATGAGAAAAATCTACACAGAAGAGGTAGCCTGATGCAAGTTGAAATGTAAGAAATGCAGTTTTGTATCTATATAGATACTTGTTTATACCATGCTTTGATATGATCATTGAGGATGTTGCTACTCTGTTGAGTTCATAATTGTAGTGGCACTCTTTAAAAATTGGAATGGTATTGGAAGTTTGGCCATAAGCTGGTTCAGCCACGGCACCTGCCTGAGATGGTAAATCACATTTTGCTTTGGAATTGTCTACTTTGTCCCTTGAACTTAGAAGTCTAGGAATGACAGGAAGCAGGAGTCATTTGAGAACATTGAGAGAAGTTCCATGGCCCAATAGGCGTTTGATGAAAATTAGGAAGATTCAGAACAGTGCTGGGCTGGAGCTCTGGCACACCATGGTATGAATGTGCCAGGAAATCGCCAAGTTGCCGGGAAGTTTCAGGTTGTGGCTCTGAACTCCCAGAGATCATAGTAGGAGTTTAAGCAGATTTCTTAAACTCTGCTCAGTTTCCTAGTCTTCCTTGCTGGCTGCCTTTGTCTTTCCAAATTCTGTAATCTACCTAGACAAGCTCAGGACTGAACCATTAGCATATTCCTTATATATATAGAAGTGGGAGAGAGAAAAACAAGATTGCTAGAGAGGTTTTGGTGGGTTTTCCTTGTATAAAAGTAGTAATATTTAATTTTTCCTTCCAAGTACTTAGTAAATTCATGTAAATCTTTTTTCCATTGAATTCTGTTCAGTTTTTTTGTTATTAATATATTTTGTGTTTTACATTGTCACAATATCATAGATATAAGAAATACATAAAATATCCTTTCTTTGAAATTTTTCTACACACACACACAGAGTTTATTCAAAAGTAAACAATTACACATGACTTAGATATACTCTCCAAATTTTCTTTCTGGTATGGGAGGGATGGTTCACATCTGTTTTGGCATGAGGAATGTGTTTCCATGGGTCCAAATGTGTAAATGAGAAGTCACTCTTTTAATTTAGCCTTAACCTGGTATCTAAAGATACCAAATGGTAAATGGTTGCATACTCTTTGACCTTAGCAAATCTTAGTCTAAGAGCACTTATAATTCTTTATTTTTACACTATTTTAATACAAGAATCAGAAACTATCTGAACCTACAATAGTGAATTATTGAATCCATCACTTTAAGTCCATATAATAATATACAGTATAGTTACATACAAGAATGAGATAGATCTATATGCAAAACACTGGAATGATTTACCAGATGTGTTTATTAATCAGAAGAATACTGCATCAACACTGGTATACATGGTTATGTACATTTATACACATTCATAGAAAATGTCTGCTGAGTCAGATGAAAATAGGGCAATAGCTTCTGGAAGGGCAACTGGAATATGGGAAGGGAGAAAAACTGACTTTTCCTGCATTTCTGAGGAATTGATCAACTATAAATTTCCCCGTATAAATGTTGTTTCATTTTTAGTGGAAAAACTGCCAACATTTTAAAAATCATTTCATGATCATTTCAAGTTGAAAGAAATGTTAAAGGAAAAAACCAAAAACAAACAAATGAACAAAACCACCAGATACTCTGTTCTGCTTCTAGTTTCCTTCACTAGCTTCTTCCTTCAACCCCATTGGCTCATCATACAGCTTGAGTAGTTTGGCATCACTTTCCTCAAATAGAAAATGAAGAATTTCATCAACCCCAACATTATTTACAGCATGGAGAAATGTCCAAGAAGCTTTTACTCCATTGTGTGCTCAGCCCTTTG